TTGTCACTTCAGTGGGCACTGTAGCACAGAGCACAAATCAAACTTGCTTTTCTCCTTTGATACAGAACAACAAACAGAAATGAGCCACTTTCTTTGCCTGGAGGAGGGGACAGCAGGCTGTCAGTCAGCTTTACAGTGCTCAACTCCAGGCTGTGCCTGCTGATGTGAAAAGCAAGGAAATGCAAGGCTGTGCCCAGGGCTGCTTCTGGGATGATATAGTCCAAATTTGCTGGCTTTTATTCAACTCCTATAGCATTTATTTCCTATTATAATAGATAGCAATAATTTTTACCACCTTAACATTTTCTCCAAAGGAGCTTAAAGTGTTTTTTAAACTCTAATGACTATACTTTCTTAACATAAGCAGTAATAACAATCTTCAGTTCACTGATAGGAAGACTGAGGTACAGGGATGTAATCAAAGTCCAAGGAATACAACCCACAGGTCCCACATCCCAGGCCCCATATATTATATCATCTTTCATCTTACTCCCCAAAAGTCATTCTTGGTTTTAAAGAGAGTTGGCGCATGGCAGATGTGGTCTCTGCCTTGGAAGTTCTTTTTTTAAGAAAAAGATTAAAAAGTTGCCTCCTCTCCCTCTTTAGTCACTTAAGAAGTGACTTAAGAGTGCCCCAAAATAGAAATGTTGAATATTTCCAGAAAATTTTGAAAAAAAAAAAATCTCCTTATTTTGTGGCTAAGAAGTTAATTGTGCAACAGTCACTGAGAGTAAAGCTCTGAAAATGCAGAGCTTCAAAGTCAGGTAATTCAACAGTGAATTTGGCAGAAACTGTGCCCCTTTGAACTTTTTAAACCCACCAGATTTTAAGCTGCTCTGTGCCCTTGGCATTTATTCAGCTGTATGAGATGCCTCTCCATGTGTCTGGGGCTCTGGCTGGGGTTCCTAAGTGGCAATGAGCAAGTGTGCTCAACATGATGCAGTCGGACTTATCACTTGACATATCTCCAGACCATGAAGGTGTTTTAAGTGAAGGCTTCCTAAATGACTCAGAAATGCTGAGGCAGCCTGGGAGCCTGCCTCACAAGCACTGTGGCCTACCTCACAAGGCCTTCTCACTGCTTCTGAACGCACAGCCACACTAATGAAAACATGCTGAGCTTCACATGCAAGTGTTCACTCACCCACAGGCATGCAGATAAGCATGCCTGCATTCAGAAAACTCTCAGGTACAAACACCCATCCGTAAGCAGGTCAAACTTGCACAGGAAGACGGTCACATCAGCTCAGAAAACATGTTCTTATTTCTCAGCTACACACACAACAACTCATGTGTCTCCATCCGCAACCCTTCACAACACAAATACACATGAAATACGTATGCTTGCATACACACTCTCTTTGCCCCACACATGGATTTGTGCCTGTACACCCTCCCGTGAATCTGTAGCCCATACACAGGCATCCAAAACCACTCAGGAACATGTAGTACAACCAATGGGGTGCACAAAGACCCACCCATGCACACTCACATACATCTTAACAAAGGTTTTGGTCTGGGAAATTCCTTTTCAAGAAACAAAAATAAATGTCAAAATGAAAAAAAAAAACAAACCAAAACAACAACAAACCAAAACAAGCAACAAAAAAACCAAACCACCAAAAACAGAGCATGGGGAAGTGCACAAATAAAAGCAAGCTGATACCTACACACACACTCACCGTGGAGGCTGACAATCAGTGTTTTCTCCCCACCCCCAACTACAGCTGTGGCAGCTCAACACCTGCTGGGTTTGCTTCCCCTGAACGCAAATGTCAGATGAACTTCACAGAGAGTTCAGGCTTATGTGTCTGTGACCCGTGCCAGGAATCTCCATCCTCCCTAACTGACCGCAACAAAAACTATCCCTTCTCTCCAAGAGCAGCACCTCCCAAGACCCTACCACAAATACTCTTCAGCTCCTAAGGAGTTGGGCAGAATCATTCTACCTGCACCTGACCAGTCTAAACATCTCCTATTAGTGGAGCTGATTGGCATGGCAGGGTTTATTGTTTCTTTCCTTTTCAGACTCCAGGTCTCTTGGAACAAGACAAGACAGTGTACGGAAACACATGGCAGGGTTTGCTCAAACCCACAAACAGCAAGAAAGCAACAAGCTCCTGAGGAGATGGGAGAAGTGTGTCTGATAAACTGCCTCACACTGCTTGGGAAGATGACACCCGTCCGTCCAAGATGGGCTGCTACTTCCAGAGCCCATTTTCTACAGATGTAACATACCAAGTGCTGCTAGCAGGAAGGGAATCTGACAGGACAAACCAACACACAAAACATTCTCTTATTCAATAAGGATTATAAGTGCAAAGGGATTTCAGAACATTTCAGAACAAACTCCATCCATAGCTGCTGCTTATTTATCAGTGCATCAAAAGATTGTGCAAGTTTTTAGTAACAAACATTAGAAACTAGTAGCAAAGGACTTGCCTAGATAAAAAGAGAAGATTTAAACATGCCAGGTAACAAAAAGACGTGTGCAGAGATCTGTAAAACTGTATAGAAGGAAAGGATTCTTTAGAGGAAACAGAGGGAACCATCACACAATGCTCTTCATAGCCCTTACTAAAAGAGTCAGGGCCACCCCTGCTACCTCCTCAACTAAGACAGGAGATGATTGGTCGGACAGAGGCACGTCCTCATTTTTCATTGACTTCTCTAACCAAAAACTGGATTCTAGGCCTTGGCCGAGATAAACTTGAATTTAGACAGGGAATGGAAAAGGGAGGGAGCCTTGTCAGTGGCAATTAAGCACACCAGGATGGACAGCCCTGGAGACTGAAAATCAGAACAATCAGGAGCAGCATGACCGTCTCGACAAGATGCTGAGAATGAATGTGATTTATACTGCTCAGATTCAGTGTCTGAGAGCTGGGTGTCTAGACAAACCTAACAAATCTAGACACTCACCAGCTACTGGATGGGCACCTCCAAAGAGCAATTAATTTCCCCTGCCACAGATATGTAAGAGAAGGCACCAGTGGGCCTGAGAAGGGTTGTGTCTCTCCCCCCTCAAGAGGAGGCCTGGTGACTGTCCTTCTCCCACACCACTGAAGTTTAATGAGAGGCATATCAGAGTGTCCTAGCCCATGAAATAAAAAGTCCTTTAATTTATAAGGAATTATTGTGAATATTTTCAAAAGGATAAATGGATTTTCCCTGGATTTCTGCTCCATAGACCTCCATTTATTTATCAAAACACAAGGATTTCCTTTCTTTCTGCTTGGAAGACTTTTGTATGGATTCAAATATATCAGTCGGGGAAGTCTTGTTGATGTTTAGTAGGATTCATCTCCAGTTAACTGTACTTATTTCCTCCATTACCATGTGCAGTTCTGTCTCTATGGATGAGAACTGAATTATTCCACAATCTGTAGGTTTTAATTTCTTAAAAATTAACAACTTCAACCAGCCAGTCATTGTAACTTTTCTCTACAAATTCAGCCTAGTCCTAATATCTAGCTAGTAAAAGGGTAACCAAAAGAGTTTACAACATTCTGTGGGAAATATTGCAAGCAACTTTTTGTGTCCAGAAAGCAGGACATTTAGGAGATATGAAATAAAAGTTCCCTTTCAGTTAGAAACTATTTTCCATTCTCTCAAAAAACAAGGAAAATAAACTAGTTTCAAAACCAATTTTTCTTTTATCCTAAATCAAAATGTTACAGCTTGAATAAGGGTCCCTGCTTCAGAATTAAAGAAAAACAAAAGAAAAAAGAAAAATAGAATTTGAAAAAAAATTAAACTAGAACCAAGATATGAAAATGTTTTATTTGGAAAGTTCCAAGTAAAGCATTTTTATTTTTTCAAAGTGTTGCCTACATATTTTCTCTAAACACAGTACTGAGTGAAAACTATGCTGTCAGTTTTCTGCTTGCAATGGATTACCTCTACAGTACACAACAATTCCAAGCTGGAATATTTATTCAACAGTCACATAATTTTGAAAATTCATGACTAATTTGCTCTCCTCTAGCATATTTGCAGCAATTTTCTTTCAATATTTCTATCTGCCTGGCCTTTATAAGCTGGATTTTTGAGTGCAATTTTTGTCCGTGCTCATAAACCCATCATAGTCTTTCTTTTGGGAATCTCTGCCTGTCCTGCCTGTCCTTTGTCTATTTATCCTATAATTCCTTATCCATCCACCTCCAAGAAAATAGACAGAGGAAAAAATTTGGCCGATGTGATTTATGTCTTGAACACCAGATGCTTATTTCAGTCTCCACGGCTCACTCAATCCTTCACCTGTCTGCTGAGATGGGCACCAGCGGGGCCAATCAGTGTCAATTGTGCCGGTGGAATTTGAGAGATGGAGCAAATCAGGTTGCAAACCCAAAAAAAATGGGTTGGAACTCTGGTGCTTTGTTTTTCTTCAGTATTTCTGATTTGTTTTTATTTTGTCTACCTGAACATCAGGAGCAGGTTCCTCTAAACAGAGGTGATTTGGCCTTTATTTCTTTTGGAGGCAGCCTGAGTGAGGAGGCACAGGGAGTATTCCTGGTTTGGTTCCCGCAGCTCCACCTCGAAAGAACTGACCTTTATCTCTTTGTGGGGTGGAGAGTACTGAACTGCCATGGGAAGCAAAGCATAACACCGGGTAGACCAAAGTGCTGGCCTGGGACTATTCTAGCAGCTTCCCATGGCATAAATAGCTTTTTCACTTACACTCCACATTTCCCATCACTTTTCCTGCTATACAGTTTAATTCATGCCAGGCGGATTATGAAGGGAAGAAAATGATGCAACAGTCAAAAAAGTCCTTTAAGTCGTTCCAAAAATTAAAACAGAACCAAACCAAATAAAATGAAAACAAAAATAATTAAAAAAAAAAAAAGAGCTTCAAAACTAAACGAAAAGTTCTGAAAATAAACTCAAAAGAAAGAAGAAAGGGAGAGGGGTGGAAAAAAAAATAAAATAAAAAGAACCCGGGAAAGGCAAATGAATGTTAGAGCAGGCACGATCATGGACAGACGCCAGCTACTTACGTTCACCTCGGTGATTGCTATATCAACAATGCTACCCACAACAATCAAGGCGTCAAATGTATTCCATGCATCACAGAAATAGTGCTGCATGTGGCAGAGAAGCCAAGGAGAGAGAGAGAAAGAGAGAGAGAGAAAGGAAGGAAGGAAGGAAGGAAGGAAGGAAGGAAGGAAGGAAGAATAAGAAAGAATGAGAGAGAGAGAGAGAGGAGGGAGAGAAAGAGGGAAAGGGAGAAAAGAGGGGAAAAAAAGTAAAAAGTAAAATAAAATAAAATAAAAAAAAAGAAACGAAACAAAATCATGAAAGAGGGAGAGAAGAGGAAAAAAATAAGAAAAGAAAGAGGTTACGTGGGCATATTAAATAGTCTCTTACCACTCTACAGTATTGGTTGCTCAAACCTCTGTAACATTTCACATGATGGAGGGTATCAACAAAAGCCTGGTTAGTCAGAAAGTTACACTCAAACATGTCTACCTTTTGGAGGGAAAAAAAGCACACACACCCCAAACTCTGTGCGCTTTCACCAGTCACAGCCTTGGGGTGAGCTATGACAAGTGAAAAAGAAGGAGGCATTTCCCCCCTTCCTTTTTTTTTCCCTGGGAGAAGGAGAAGGACGACGGCAAGTTCAATAAAAGCATGACTAGAGGGAAAAAAAAACAGAAAACAAAAAGAGAGAGAAAAAAAGAGAGAAAGAGAGAAGGAACGGCAGAGGAGGAGGAGGTGGTGGTATCCTGGGGAGGGTAGAGTAATACTCACATTAGTTTCACTGAGAATGACGTCTATAATGCTGCCAATTACGATGAGGAAGTCAAAAACATTCCAAGGATCACTAAAGTAACCCTACATAAGGAAGGGGCAGGCAGGATGGGGATTAAAAAGGAATGTTAGACAGACAAAAACAGTTCAAAATTACCATTAGAATCACTGCCCTGAGACCTCGAGGGGTTTTCCTCTCAAGTCTACTCCTGGCGTCTCAAGCTGTAGCCCAGGCCTGGGTTCCCTGATTTGAGTGAGCAGCCCCCATCCAGCTAACGTGATGCCAGGGCAGTCACCCCTCCCCTCTGACTCTGAGACAGGGGCTGAAGGGAAGTCACAGAGATCATTTTGAGCATGGCTGCTCCCAGGATCTGGGCTGGCAGGACCAGCTCCTCCAGACATCTCAGTTCCTAGCAACACAGCACCCTTCCCCACTTGACTTAGATTCAGCTGGGGGAGAGCACAGGAATGGTGTCATATGGCTCTCTCAAAAAATGGATCCCCTTAAGCCAGTGTGAGTATCAATCCAGCAGTCCACGTTCCAGATGTAATGCTCTGCCCACAGGGAACAGCTGGCTGCTGCGTCATGGCAGAGGAGAGGGCACAGTCAAGCTGAGAATGTGCTATTTAAATCTCACCACAATGAGTATTATGACAATCATCGGCCTATAACATCTTCTATTACTAATGCTTTAGCTCTTGTCTTAAGAATACAGAGCAGGATTGGTATTTCTGTTACTCTGAAAGCACATCTGCACCACAGAATGATGGTGTGAATGTAGCCTGGCACATCCCAGCAGGAAGGGGTAAGAACAGGAGCAAATCTGGCTTTAGCATGTGCTCAGAGTGAGACCTGTTGGTCCCTCATGTTAAAGATAGAGCTCCAGCAGCACTGTCACATTGGCTGCCCAGGACAAGCCACAGCAGATCACTCCAGGGGCTATCTCAAACATCCCATTGTCCTAAGCAGAGCTCAGGAGATGCTGATCAGCACTGCTTACTATCCTCATCCTGCATAATTTTTGTCTGAATAGGCTGTAAGGATACAGGACTCTTTTGAAAAAGGTTCTGTTTAGCCCAGAAGTTGAACTTCTGTATGTAAACTTCCTGTACAAGTCAATGTCATGAGAAAAGAAAATTTATCTTCGCTCACTGAACACCTGTGCCAGTCTCTTCTCCTTGTTCTGCAGTCTTTAAAGGAGGCAAACACGCAAAATCCTCCATACTCCTTTTGATCTATGTTTGGTTTTGTGAGCACGGGCTAATGTGACCTCCCTGTTTCCCAGCTGCAGCATGTCTCCAGTGAGACTGAACCCGAGTTGCACTGTGACTGCTATTCTTAGTCAAAGAGTCAGGTCATGGGTAAAGTGTGAGTCTGTGTTCCCAGGCAGTGTTGCAGAAAGCAAAAAGGAGAAAAGAGAAAAAAAATTAAAAAAGAAAGGAAAAAATTATCTCAGCACTGGCACTGTGCAAAGTCAGGCTTGGGAACCTCAAATTACTGTGGGTTCAACCATCACATGGAGCAGGCACTAACAAAAAGTGTCTTTCTAAGTGCTGAAGCACTTCCTCCAGGACCCTTTGAGACTCACAGTTATGAACAGCATTACACCTGGGGCAAGGGAAAAAAAAAAAAGAAAAAGAAAAAGAAAAGATGAAGCAAAAAAAAAAAAAAAAAAAAAAAAAAAAAAAAAAAAAAAAAAAAAAAAAAAAAAAAAAAAAAAAAAAAAAAAAAAAAAAAAAAAAAAAAAAAAAAAAAAAAAAAAAAAAAAGCCACTGCCTGGCTGGTTCCACACCAGTGAAGGGAGCTGGTAGAGTGGATTTGGAAAACTTCTCCACAAAACCAGAATAAAACCCCTTCATTCTGCAGCCTGAAACAGGCAACTCTTAGCAGATCTACACTGGGAAGAGCAATCATCCTAGGGCTACACATTACTACACAATTAGCTACAACAGGGAGGAAGGAAACAGGAGCAAAAGCAAATTCAGAGAATATTATTATTCAGTGTCCAGCCTAGAAAATACACAACAAATATTAGAATGAATTCAGCAGTGATGTCCAGCACCATTAGCAACCAGAAGGACCTGGAATAAAACTGTAATTAGACTTCACCAAGAGGAAGGGGAGGGAGAGAACAGCAGATTAAATTGTAGAGGCAAACGCATTTGGAATAAAGAGAGGACAGACACAGATCGTACAGAGTTACAAAAAAGTGCCTTTGCAGCCTGATGTGACCTTGGCAAACAGCAAACTTGCAGGATCAAAAAACAGAGTAGAAGACAACAGACCCAATCCTTCTGCCCCTGTCCATGTGCATGGTCCTGCTGAAGGCAATGGCACTGCTCACATGCGTTCAACAGCATGCTTCTCTTTTATTTCCTCTCAAATGCATAGTTTAGGAATTATTAAGGATTTCAACAGTAATCTAAACAACTCAAAAAACCCCAGAGTTTGGTTTTGGGCAGCTGCAAATATTAAAATCCAAAATATATTGTTTAGGTTTTGCCCATGAAAATGATGACTTTTAATGATTTTTAAGTCTGTGGTTATTTTTGCTATGATTGGCATCATACTGCAAAGAATGGTTTTGATGTAACCAAATTCACAATTTCTTTTTACTGAGCAGCTTCTTTCATAGAGCCCAATAGTCATCGCTGCTGGTAAAAACAGCATTTGCTGTTGATACAGACCCCAGGTGACAAGCAACATCAAATCCTGTCCTCAGATGACCACCAAAGCCAGTACATTAAATATTGCTCCCAGTTGTAGTAATACAACCTCACTGGATGCAATTGCACTGCACTGACAGAGTTGGCACATCTCAGGAGAGATTCAGGCCCGGAAAGGAAAGGTCCCTTTTTCATTGCCATCAAAAAAAACCTGCTTTGGACCTTTGTGACACCACCGTGTATCTGGAGTCACTCTGCTAACTTCAGTAGTGTTGCTCCAGATTTACATAGGAAGCTCTTTCTCATCAGCCAGTTCCTTGCTTGAAAGTCACAGGCTGGTCTGCTCTGGAATCCCAGAAAGAGCATTATCATGGCTGTAAGGTGAACTCAGAGAGCTCTTCCTCCTGTAGGAGCCTTCCAGAGAGGAACCATAGATATGAATGCAGTTTTACTCAACCCCACATCCAATATACCAGTGCTGAGTTAAGGAAACACATGAATTTTAAAACCTTCCTTTCCTCCTCACCTGCTCCCTCTGTGTTTCAAACAGAAGGGTGAAAAACAGGAAGATATTATTTACAGTGAGAGAGCTCAAAGAAACAGAGAACACAGATGCTTCATTTGTGTGGAAAGGTAATGGGATCCTTCCTTGAAAAGCCACCCACCCTCCTCAGAGACAATTACCTATGGCCGTGTGGTCACTTAGCTTTGGATCAGGCCTCATAATCTTGTCAGGAGTTATCAGTACATATGGGGAGGGAACTACATCCCTTTGGGACTTGCCTCCCGTGACCTCAAAGGACCTCTTCAAGCCACATTCCTCACTGGAGTGTACCAGGGTGGCTAATGAAAGACAAGCTGAATGAAGGAAGAGCTTTCACTCTAATAAAGAGGTTGTATTTCCAAAATATTTTTCCCACCAGAAAGTTCTGTATACTTTTCCCAAGAGGGTGGAGGTCTGACTGGAAATGAATTGATGGCACTGTTTGTTTTTGCAGTACAGGAATTTAGAGTGTAATACCATATTTTACCCTTAAAGGGAGATGCTTGACCCTGATTTAGCTGTATAATTGCATGCCACATAATGGCATCCTCAGGGGTTTACTGGTGAGTGGTAGTCACCCTCTCTTGTGGGATGTCTTTGGAGATCCATGAAGCTTTTAGGGAGAAAAGAGGACAGAGAGAGACCAGGAGGATTGGACTGAATATTCAGAAAGCATGAAATAGCCCCACCAGAAGAGCACATTTTTTTCCCCATTTTTTTTTCCCCCCAAAGGTAGCAAATGATAGTGTATCACCATATGATCAATATATTAATGAAACACTGAGCATAAATATGCAGTAGCTGACTGGAATGGAATCTCATTTGTGCAAGAGGAGCAGACATCATAGCATTTCAGAATGAGTATGCCAATCATTTTTAGGTCTCCTAGTTGCTAAGGTTAGCTATCAAAAGAAGCTAGGGTTTATTTTGGTACTTACGGAGGCATTGAAATCTCTGGACCCCATTTCTGTTATTTTTTGTGAATATGAGATCATAAATGTGGTATCTAAGAAACCTCAACGATAGCAGGGAAAATTGCCCACTGGGGTCTATCTGAAGCTCAGAGTCACCTGGGGCCAATAATAGGAGAATGTGGTAGCTGAAGTGCTGTGCATCCAC